TCATTTTTCAGATACTATGTAATCATCAGAGTTGGGAAAGTCAAAAGAATTTATTTCCTTAATGACATTTTAAGAAATAAATCTTGCAAACAAACATAAAGCCTGTACTGTGAAAAACAACAGAACACCGGTAGCAAAGCAATTCATGCTAAATAACAGACTCATCAAGTTTGATTAACATATACTCTAAATAATTCAAAACTTTCACTTTCATCCCTAGCAGGTCTGTTGATAGTAGCACTGCTGAGACATTCTTCAAAATCACACTCCCTAGATCTGCTCTGGCTAAATCTGTACTTCAGGTATTTCAAGATGAAATCTTTCATTGTAAACACCTCTCGGTATCCAAGGGCTTTATAAACAACCAACCAACAGGCCCAGAAAAAACAAGATTACTTCTCTGCCACCACTGCTCTCCAGCAATGCTCTGAGTTGAGAGTACTGGCAGCACTACACAGAGTTCACCAACACAAGCCACGGTCTGCTCTGAAAGGTAACCATGAAATCCAAGCTTCACCTGAGACACCATAACATGAAAAACCCCTGTTGTGTTTGATTTATGTGTAGTTGTAGTGAAGGACTGACAAAAGAATTACAGGGGAAATAAACAATAATGCAAACCTAGATAACTGAGGATAAATTCTTAAAAAGCAGAAGGAACAAACCAGGAGAGAAACCACAATGGTAAGAATTCCAAGTCCAGGATTAATATTGGTCACAATGCAAAAGAGACAGCTGGAAGCAACAAGCAAAGCGTCATCCTTCAAAACAACAACAACTACAAAAAGTCCACGTCTGTACAGATCTAACATGAGTTTTGTCTCATCATCTGCTATTACCTTACTATCTCCACTTTGCGTATTTTCCATGGCACTCTCAGAGGTAAAAGCAAACATACACTCAGATGCTCTGTCTTAAAAACAACAAACTTTCAACTGTTTCAAAAGATAACAGCAGCACAGAAGGTCAGTAAAAGGGAACTATGAACAATTAACAGCTGTAAGCACAATGACATCAAAACTGAAATTTGAATAGGAAGATTAAGTATAAAAGTTTCTAACTGCTTTTAGCAACTGCTGTGACTCCTTGGGAAGTAAAATTTTCCTGCTTCGTTTCTAAGAGTCAAGAAAATTCTTAATCCTTGAAAATCTCTCTTCTCTAGACAGCATCTACAGCAATCTGTAACGCAGCTACGAATACTTCAATCTCTCACTTCCTCTTATTAAAAATAAGTCTTAACCATTTCCTTTAACCACAAAACCACATATTGTGTGGTTCTCTTTAGTAACTTGAGTTTCGATATCATATTCACCGGAGGAATCTATGAGAGAATCTCAAACAGCAGTTTTGGAATTGAGCGATTTCAGAAAGGAAAAAAAATAAAAAGGAATAAAGAAAAACAAAGTGCTCCAAACAGCCAGTTATGCTGCAGCTGGGCTGAAGAGAGACCCACAGTAAAACACAGTAGTCAGTCCTGACACTTCTGGGCTCACCATCAGAGCTAACCAGTTCCCCCTGTCAAGCAGTACTGACTGCAGCTAAAGAAAACAACTATTTAAATCATAACTCACTACATGAATACACACAGTTCTGCCTGGGACATCTCCAGATTTGCAAAAATACACGTCACATAACAGTCGAGACACTTGGTCACACCTCCTCTCTCTCTGTGTGCAAGGCCTATGCAATTTTGGACTCAGTTCTTGGAACTTGCAGGAAAAAATGGTGTCACCTCCAGTGCTGATGCTCCCCTACGGAGAGCCTGTCCACCTGCATCACTTCACTGACAGGAGTAACAGCAGAAGCTACCACCATGTGGGCCAACATGCTCAGGACTGTGCCATCCAAACATGCCAAGCATGTCTGTAGGCACTGGAGCGCTTAATAGGAGGAAGTGTCCCTGGGAATGAAAACAGAGCCTGCACTCACAACGGCTTAGGCACAGCCGTGTATGAAGATGGGTTTTAATTTTTCCTGTCCTGTTTCCTGCCCCCCAAAGCAGGGCCACGCTCAGGCAAAATTCCCCTGGCCTGTTTTTCACCTGGTATATTTCTCGCCAAGTCTTAACAAGTGCACACACAAATGACTTCCCCGTTTTGATGGTTTTCCCCATATATAGGGAATTTCTGTTGTTAAAAGTGTAACTAGATTGTTGCCATTATTAAGCTGAAATGATTTTCCAATGTACAAAGCTGCAAACTAAAAGGAACCCTTTGGAGAGTCAGGAACTTACAATAATTTAGTCAGAACGCTTTATCTATGTCAGTGAAGATTTGCAGAAAACACTCAAGCGCACATCAAACACCGAAACAGCTTTGGATGACTTCTGAATACTTTAATCACTTGGGTTGGGTTTTTTTTGCTGGAAAAATACCTTACTTAAAAGCCACAATGCACGTGGTAGCCCTTAGGAGTACAGGTCTCCCACGTCAACAAAACTCTTGGACCAAACACATCTTTGAGCTCATATCGGTCAGGCAGGGTCACTCCTGACAGAAAGCTGTTTCCATAAGTCAGAGAGATCAAATAAGCACCTAAAACTCTCAAACTCCCTCTGCCATTGCAATTGAACCCAGCATGGGAATAGGGATGAGACTTTAATCGGGAAAGGTGTGTGTGCTCGCTGCTCAAAGGTAATAGCTAACATTTTCTTTGAAGTATGACAAACCTCTTAGAAATATTCGTGTAGAAGGCAAAGCAATAAAACCTAAGTAGTATTCACTACTGGAAGTGGACAGAGCGGCCGTACACTTTCAGATGATGTATCACACGGTAGGAAAATGAAGCCGGGAAGGATACATGAAGCACCCGGCACGGGGTGGGGGCATGAACTACGTTCTTCCCTACAGGAAAGCACAGCGATGACTTCCCGAGGAGAAATTAACCGAGCAGGGAGGCGGGACCCATCCCTGCCTCAGCAGCGAGACCTGCAGCTTCCTGCACGGCCGAGCCGCCTCACCGAGGCCAACACCGATCCCTTCGGGAGCAGCTCCAGCACCCCCGGCCGCTTCAAACACCCGTTCCATCTCACGCCGGGAGCTGCTAAGCAACCGCGCGCCTCGAACTTATCGAAATTAAACTTACTAATTTTACCCCAAACCCCCTTTTTTTCCCCTTCGGTAGCGACAGGTTTCGGCGTGGGAAAAGCCCGGGCGGCGCTGCCCACTCGCGGCTCCCGTGAGTCACGCACGGCAGCGGGGCGGGAGCGGCTGCGGGGCCGCGCCGGGACCAGGCCCCGCTCCCGCGGCCGCCGCCAGCACCGGCCGGGCCTCCCCCATCCCTCCCTCCGCCCCTCCCGGAGCGATGCGGCGGCCGCAGGGCAGCCCCGGCCCTCCCCGGCCGGGCGGCGGCCCCGCCCAGCCCCCGGGCCCCGCCGCTAGGCCGCGGCACGGCCGGCAGCGCCGCCAGCCCCGCGCAGCGCCGGCCCGAGCGCCGGCGGGCACCGCGCCGGGGCGGCTCCCCGTCCGTCCCCCCCCGCTCCCCGCCGGGGCCCCCCGCACCTTCTTGATGTTGTAGAGCCGGGTGAGCATGCCGACGCCGCGGTCGTTCAGGATGGTGAGCTTCTCCGCCAGCTTCTGCTGGCTCGGCTGCAGCACGGCCCGCGACATCGTGGCGCTCTGCGGCCGTCCCCGGCGCTCGCAGCCCTGCGGCCGCCGGCCTGGCCCGGCCCGGCTCTGCCTCCCGTCCCGTCCCCTCCCTCCCTTCCTTCCCCTTCCCTTCCCGTCCCTTCCCGTCCCCTCCCGCCCGGCCGGCGCTGGAGCCTCCGCGGGGCGTGGGCACGGTCACGTGGGGGGCCTGGCGCGCCCCCTGCGGGCGGGCGGCGGCGGCGCGGGCTGTGGGCGCTGTGAGGGGGCTCTGAGGGGGCCCGGCCCCGGCCCCGAGGGGTGCTGCACACCCGCGAGGAAAGGCCGTTCTTCCGCAAGGTTTATCGCCAGTAAAGCTGTGGGTGTCCCATCCCAGGAGGCCACAGAACCATAGATAATAGAAGCGTAGTATCGTAGCGTGGTTTGTGTTGGAAGGGACCTTAAAGATCATGTAGTTCCACCCCCCTGCCCTGAGCAGGAACACCTTTCCCGAGCCCAGGTTGCTCCAAGCCCCGTCCAGCCTCGCCCTGGACACTTCCAAGGATGGGGCAGCCACGGTTTCCCTGGGCAACATGTTCCAATGCCTCATCACCCTCGCAGTAGAGAATCTAAACGTAACCTCTTTTAATTTGAACCCATTCCCTCTTGTCCTGTCACAACATGCTCTTGTAAATAGCCTTGCCCCACCTTTTCTGTAAGTTCCCTTCAGGTGCTGGAAGGGTGTTCAAGGCCAGGCTGGATGGAGCTCTGAGCAACCTGGTCTGGTTGAAGGTGTCCCTGCCCATGGCACAGGGTTGGAATGAGATGGCTTTAAGTTCACCTCCAACCCAAACCTTACCGTGATTCTATGAAAACCCCATTTTTTCACTTAATGAACTCCATTTTTTCACTTAATGAACTCCATTTTTTCACTTAATCAATACCATTTTTTTTACTTTAACAACGTGTAAGTCCTACGCTTTGGCCACAATAACTCCCTGCAGTGCTGCAGGTCTTGGGCAGAGTGGCTGAAAAGCTGCCCAGCAGAAGAAGACCTTGGAGTGCTGGTCACAGTGACTGACCACGAGCCAGAGCGTGCCCAGGCAGACAAGAAGGCCACAGGCACCCTGGCCTGTGTCAGAAATAGGGTGGCAGCAGGACCAGGGAAGTGGTTCTGACCCTGTACTCGGCACTGGTGAGGCTGCACCACGAGTGCTTTCTTCTGTTTTGGGTCTCTCACTTTAAAAAGGACATTGAGGTGCTGGAGTGTGTCCAGTGAAGGGCAGTGGAGCTGCAGAAGTGTCTCGAGCACTTGTCCTAAGAAGAACACCTGAGAGAGCTGCATATATTTAGTTTCAAGAAGAAGAAGGTCAGGGGGGACCTCATCACTCTCTACAATTCCCTGAAAGGAGTTTGTGGTGAGATGGGGGCTGGTCTCTTCTGCTATGCCTGCAGTGAGAGGACCAGAGGAAAAGGTCTAAAGCTGAGACAGGGGAGATTCAGATTAGATATTAGAAAAAATTGCTCACCTTTAGGGAGGTCAGGCATTGGAATAAGTTGCCCAGGCAGGTGATAGGGTAGTGTTTAAGGGACATCTGGATCTGGCACTGGGTGAGATGGTTAGTGGTTTAAGGGTTAAAGTAGTGATACTGGGTTGACAGTTGGACAGTTGGACTGAATCATCTTAAAGCTGTCTTCTAATCTTGAAAGTTCTATGACTTTCAGCACTGCCATTCACAAGACTCTCACCGTTCCCCTGAGCTGTTGTTCTAGAGCAATGTATGGCAAATTCAGAGAAATACCATTTCTCCAATTAGGTGAGTCACATTGCTGCTATTTTTCCTCTGGAAGCCACAGGAATTAAAAGCATATATTTTAAAGAAATGGTGAGCTCTCCATGCCGTGAATGCCAATAAGAGACTGCCAGGGGAGCCATCCCTCACTGCAACCTGTTAGTGAGGCGGTTGCAGCACTGAGCAGCAAGCACAACCAGCTGGGATGTAGGGCTCCCTAGTCTAGGGAATGAGAGATAGGCTTAAGAATTAACCTTCTAATCTCATTTTTTTTTATAATGGAACCACCATCTGTGCCTTTTTTTGCATATTAATACTTCTATTTAATTTTCGGTTTGCATGTTTGCATTAGAAATCAGAATCAGACTGTTTCAGTCCTTCAGATACTTTTAACTAATAGATTTGAGAAAGCAGAGAAATGAATGTGAGAAGCCTAAATGAAATTAAATTGTTACTGACCTCCCTCTTCACTTTAGCACTTACAAGTTAATTTATGATTCAGAATGAAACCAGGAAGGAAGAACTTGGAGTTCTAATCTGAAGTCTGCTATTGAGTCATTCTTTGGCCTTTATCAGATGATTTTCTGCCTCAGCTTTGTGTCCAAGAGTCAGGAATACCTAGCAACAACACTGTAATGATTAATTAGGTTAGACCTGACCTTTCACTACTGGAGTCTATGGAAAACATCAGAAACCTTCAAATCGGCATTTAAATTTCTAAAGCATAAAATGCTACGTGATCTCAAAGTATTTATTTAATGAGTAATATCTACAATAGTATTTTACACAAAGCATCTTCCTCCTCTTATAAATTATTTTTCAAATATAAAATATACTATTTCTAGTGGAAATAAAGGTGTTTCTCGTGTCCTTGTACTGCAAAATAGAATCATGGAACGGTTTGGGTTGGAAGGGACCTTAAAGAGCATCTTGTTCCAACACCCTGCTGTGGGCAAGGACACCTTCCACTAGACCAGGCTGCTCAGAGCCCCATCCAGCCTGGCCTTGGACACTGCCAGGGATGGGGCAGCCACAGCTTCTCTGGGCAACCTGTGCCAGTGTCCTCTTAGTAAAGAATTTCTTCTTAATATCTAATCTAAATTTACCCTCCTTCAGCTTAAAGACATTTAAGAACAAATACTATTGCTGAAAGCAATTTTTTTTTTGTTCCTCACCTACAGCTAACACAACAGCAGCCTGATTTTTAATTCCATATTGAATTATTTTCCAGCCCTATGGGGTGTTCTGGGAGTTTCAAACTGTAACAATCAAAGAATTTGTTATTTATATACAGCCAAGCAAGTGGAATGGTATCAACATTGTGACAATCTCTCAGGAGTTTTTTGTGCATCATAATGAAACATCCATGACCTAACATCCTAATCTTTCTTTCTCTGAAACTAATAGAAACAGATGATCTGAATTATCACTGCAGTGTGGCTACACACGGACTTTTAACAATATTCTTGGTCAATGTGAATGTGTGTGCTTAAGCACTCAGTGGTTTTGTCATCACTTTCAATGGCAGCAGGGTAAAGCCCACGCTGTCAAACTGCTTTTGCTGCAACTTCACGCAGAAACTTCGGCAATACATGTAGATTTTCCAGCAGGAAGATTTGTTGCATGTTTGGTTATAGAAATTTCTGCACTGTACGATCTGGGTTCACCAGTCTAGCAGCAAGCATAACAATAAAGTGGAAATACAAGCTTTGTCAGTACCAGCATAGCTCTTACAGGTGTGGCAAAATTAAAAGAAGGGCAGAGTAAGGCTAGTAATTATTTTTAAAACACACAACTAGTATTTGCTTGATGATTTATTAGTTATTAAAGTTTTAAAATCTTTCTATGTTTATTCCAAAACTATGAGTTTAGGGCAAGTTTCAGGCAGCACTTCAGATTTAGCTCACACTCAGCTCTGCTCCTTTTAAAGTCAGTTTTCTGTTCAGTTCAGGGTTAAATTGTGCTATTCACTATGTGGCTTTCAGACAGCAATGAAAATCACAGTATCATAGAATGGCCTGGGTTGGGAGGGACCTTAAAGGTCATCTCAATCCAACCTTCCTGCCATGCAGAGGAACACCTTCCACTAGACCAGGATGCTCAGGGCTCCATCCAGCTGGTCCTTGAACACTTCCAGGGATGGGGCATCCACATCTTTTCTGGGCAACCTGTTAACATGTTCCAGTGCCTCACCACCCTCAGAGTAAAGAACTTCTTCCATATTATCTAACCTGAATTTCCCCTCTTTCAGTCTGAACCCATTCCCTCTTGTCCTTATCACTACAGTTCCTGATGAAAAGTCCCTCTCTGGCTTCCTTCAATACTGGAAGGCTGCTATGAGGTCTCCATGCAACCTTCTCTTCTGCAGGCTGAACAGTAAACAGGGATGTTGTAGACTTTTCTAGCACTGCTATTTTAAAACCTGTAATGGGCAATTTACAACTGCAGAGTAGGCTGTTTTGCCACCTAAGTCTGCTCCACTTACACTTGACATCCCTGTAGAAGTATTTACAAATATATACATTTTATCCTTTCCTGTCAGTTCTTGCTTGGTTTAACTTCTGGCTGGGGAGCTGTTCAAGACTCCATGGGCAGGATTTTCAGTGCAATGACAGACACCAGCTGCACTCTCCATGAGTGATCCAGCACAGCCCACTGCACGGCCTCTGCCCCTTTGTCCAGTGGAAGCAAAGATGCAATTTTTACAGACTCACTTTGTTCAATATTTCCTTTTCAGGTAAAAACAAGTCAAAACAGGAAGGCAAACTGTTATTTCAACAGACCAGAATTTTTAAATGGTCCTCATAATCCCAACTATTTGGTCATGCTACAGTATTTATCTGTTAATAATACATAAGTATTTATGACATTGTTGAACTTGCATGGAAAGGCATACAAGCTGAAAAATTTACTACATAAAGGCTATAATGCTGTTGAGAGACCCTAAAAATGTAATAAATAGCATTGAGCAAACACAGTTGCCTTTGTCAGACAGATGTTTAATCTTAACTTATGCTTAGAGGAGCAATGGGTTCAAAAGACCTATCAAGCTCACTAAACCAAGCTGACAGATTGATTATATTTTCTTGATAAATTCAAACCCTTTTCACTATTTAATCCATCACAAAGCCAACGTGTGTGCAAGTTCCTATGTTCTCCTTTTACCTCTCATTGAAGGTATCTGGGCATTATTTTAACCAGTTTTTCCACTAACATGCAAGCTCATGTGTGTGCCAGCTCCCTGCTGAATTTTGTGCATGTGTTGGAGTCCTTCTGGCTGAGGCTGTTTATGGCACACAGCACTTGCTCAGAGATACCAAGCCTTTGAATGTAAAAGAACATGGACATAGGAGAGGGAGGACAGGAAGGAGGTGTGCAAAGCCAGTTTGAAACTGATGATGAATCCCAGAGTAGATCTTCTCTCAGGAAGTGCAGACACCTGCCAGTTTGAACAGTGCATGAGCACTCCTGCTCATACTGGAGGGACAAGAATGACAAGCCTGCTCCAGGACTTCTAGCCTGACACTGCGTGAATGAGGCTTAATCAATCGAGAAGCTGGTCCTTATCAGCATTTGAGAGCCAGCTTTCTTGCTGTGTCCCAGGTCCATGACTCACCAGTGATGTTTAACTGGCAAATCAAACGTCAGCCCACTGGCTATGGAAGTTTGGAAGCAAGAAGAAATTTGTTTACATGTGAATTATCAGCATGGCTAAACAGAATGAGCTTAGAGAGCATTGGTGGCCTGAGATTTGGCTTGTTCCAGCCTGAGGCACTGCTTACTTTTAAAGGAAGAATCAAGAGGATAAATTAGTTCCAACTGCTTAGTTTCAGGGTTAGGATTACAGTTAACTCCTGCAGAAACCACTGAACAAATGGATTAGAGTTTTCTCACTGCCTATGAAACAAAGTTTAGGAGGGCTGTCAGAATGGGTCACCCAACTACATTAAGTCTTGAACTGATACAAGTATAGACCTTAAGTTAGGCTTGTAGGCAGGGGTTACATCACCAGCTTAAAAAAACCTGGTAAATACCAAAATCAGAAAGGGCACTGGATTAGGAGTCCACCTAGATTAGAAAGGGCATTTTATTTCCAGTTTCCTTACAGGGTGAAGAGTAAAGAAGAAGCAGCAGTGATCTCTGAGATGTTTGTGAGTCCACTAAATAGAGACAGAATGCTTAATTACCTTCAAATCTTTATCACAGGATGAGTTAGCCTACGCTAACTGCCCACTGTCCAGAATAAACCACGAAAAATCCGTTTGCAAAGAACAACCTCTGACCTTTCTGAAAGTGGATGTGGTCAGATGGTTGTGCAGTGATGCTGGCATACAGATGCCAGCTGGTCAAATTAGCCCCATCATGATGGTCCTGCACACAAGAAAACTGAGGGGCTTCTGTTGGGCCCACATTTTTCAGTACCTTCATCTACCTACAGAGCCTTTTTTGGCAGGCACATACCAGCTCATGTGCTCTGACCTACTTTGTTCAGCCTCTGTTACACTTCTGTCCTAGAAAAATGGGGTAGCACCAGTGGCTACAGATAAAAATGTGCCAAAATAACCTATGAGAGGTTGCTTTGTCTCCTCCCTTCCTCTCCCTTTCTTTCATGAGAACCCAGTGAAAGAGCAGGTACCTCTTTAATTGCCACAGCTTTTACCATCCAGCCAGCAAAGGCTAGGAAAGAAAACCTCTGCCTTAAACTTAAGCTACATCTAAGGGAGGAAAATTTTAGTCAAGGAACACCCAAAAAATGAAAAGTTTTCCCCACTCTTTCTAGGACTCACATTTACCAGTCAGTCAGGTTCTTGAATAAGGATTGTAGTAAAATCCAGATAAAATGTTCCCTTTAAAACTTAGATGTTTAAATAAGACAGAACAGTGCAAATGTATATTTTTGTAGTTTAAATGTATTTTGAAAGGAGAGCTAATGGAGAAGGATGATGTGAGCATTACCCAAATTGTCACATCTATGATTGAACGGGGGGAAGTTGGAAAAAATACTAAAGTTATCATCTACATTT